AGCATGGCGCAGCAATTTCACCTCTTCCCACTCACCCTGAGCAGAGCTCCAGCAATACAAATGGAGTGGTAAGGGCTGATCTCAAACAGAATTTGATTGCAGAGGAGGCACTGTCTCTGGTACACGCTTGCGAGGAGTCATCTATCACAGAGACGGAGAGAAACTACGGCCAAGTCTTGCAGTCTTTAATCAAACCGCAGCCTTTGACTACTTTGCAACAAATCCCAGTCGAGCGACAAGCGAGCAACAATCAACAGGTCCAGCCTGAAAGTAGCACAACAGAAGCCAGGACAGCCGCAAGTGCAGCTGAGATCCAAGTCCAAGCTAAGGCCCAGAGCAACAGTGGTAGCCCTACTATGTCTGGAGTGGGTGTGTATGTACGTGCCAGCAGTGGAGGCAGCAACAGAGTTCACTTTGCAGACACTGTGAAACAAGAGGGCAGTTCCTCTGTGGATCTCAGGAACAGGTCAGTATCGGCCATGGACTGCGCCTCTTTGCCTCCGCTGATCGTACATGAGAGTTTGCATCATCCTGTTGTTGAGGCCAGCTTCATCTTCCCGGACTTCCTCGGCTCAAAGAAGCTAGAAATCCTCACAAATGCAGCTTCTACCAAGGATGAACCAGCGAAACAGAGCCCAGCTGACTTTCCAAAGCCACAGAAAGATGTCCAGGTGGATAAAGGAGGTTTGGAGACTAAGGACACCAAGAAGAACTTTGCCATAGACGAGTCAGGTAACGACAAGTTGGTGACAAACGCTGTGGGTTTACAGCCGGTGAGCGAGGCCTGCACGAACCAGCTTCCCTGTCCCACAGAGAAGAATGAGACTGGTAACAAAGAATTTTTTGACCTTTTACAAACATCAGGAAGTGCCATTTCTGAGGCTGATCGTGCCACAGTTGAACAGGTTGAGCAGGTGATAAAGCAAGAAGAGGCAGAAACAGATAAGGCTCCCATAAATGTGTATTTGGCAAAGGAGGAAGAACTAAATAAGATCCATGCTGAGTCTACAGACTCGGTCAAGTGTGACCAACCTCAGGAGTCACCTTTAATAAGTGTTGTTCCTGAAGAAAAAGAAGGTAACCAACATCCTCTGTCTTCATGCTCTGTGCCTCCAGCTGATCATGTTACCTGCGAGCCTGTAAGTGATGTCACTGAGTTGCCTGTTGGGCAGCTCTCTGCTGACCTTGACCCCAGTTCAAAACCTGAAACTGTCAACTTGACCCATACAGCCTCTCTTCAGACAAAGCCTAGTGACCCCGGTTATCAGCCTCCCACCCAATCAGATCAAACGCCTCCTTGTGGATTAGTTATCACAGATCCCATGAAAGATAGTGAAGAGCCTGGGTCCACAATTCACTCTGCTGATCAGACAGAGGATGAATCAGTGACTTCAGAAGTGACAGCCTCTGACCAGTCAATTCCTGTTATCGAGCAATTTGCCAGTAATCCTACTTTTGTACTGCAGCCTCCTGGACCAATGTTGAGTCACTTGGAGTTCATTACTGACTCTGATATCTCCCCTCCTGAGCAGACAGATAAGCGCTGTGCTGATAGTGATGGCACCAAAGGCTCCGGAGAGCTGGATGGCAACAAGAGCAGGGAAATGACTCAAGTGTTTTCAGCACAGGATCTGGAGCACATTGATGTCAGCGTTAAAGCAGACAAGACTGATCCAAAACGGGACGAAAGAAATTATGCTAAAGAGTCTGTCATTGAGCTGGAGAAATCTGCAAATAAGAATGAAAATATTACATTTTTAGAAGAGGAAAATCTGTCTCCTCCAATTCAGCCTCCTGCTGCGGTGGGTTCACTGGCAAAGGATGAATCCGATGATGCAATTTCCCTATCTCAAACAGAGCCAGACTCTATTACCATTAAACCTGTTATTTGTGAAGCATCCATTAGGGATGGCCTCATAAATGTTAGCTGCCCAGTCAGTTCTGACCTGCCTAGCAATGAGGCTTATGATGAAATCAAAAAAGACAATATGACAGAGAAACACAAAACAGGAGATGAGACCTGCATGCAGTTTGAAGAGGATAAGGAACAAGGTGGAGAGGCAACAGTGGATAATGAAAAGAAAACAGCAATCAGCAGCAAGCTGCAGAAAGGAGAGACAGGCACAACACCACAGCAGAGTAATGGGCCAGATAAAGAGGCCGTAGGGGAAATTGGAGACCAATCGCAGCCACCACACAAACATAAAGTACAAAAGAGTGAATCACCAACAAGGGATATAAAGGAGGAAGGAGAGAGGAAGAGTGAGATTGCATCTAAAAGTGAGACAGAGACTTCCTCCTTATCTCCCGACAGACCTGCAGGGTCATCTGAGGACATGCTACGCACAGAGTCTGGTAGTGAACCTCAGACTGTTTATAATCAGAGTTTGAGCCAAACTTCGACAGCAACATTGGAACGCAGCTCTGACAGCGACACGGCACAAGATTTGAGTGCAGCTCTCAGCCAATCGCTGTCCACACTGGATCCAAACTGTTTTGCTCAGCAACAGGAGCAACAGCAGCAACAGCAGCAACAGCAGCAACGTCTGGGATCCAGACATCCCACAGAGGAACTGTCAGGTGGTTGTCTAGAGGGGGTAGAAAAGACCAAAGCACTGGTTCCAGGGGTAAAAGGGGTAGCAGAGGAAGGAGACGGCTCCATTGGGAGTTTGTGTCAGTCAGCAAGCAGGGATGAGTTGACATGTGATGACAGCGGAGGCAGTGAACGAGTGATAGGTCTGGAGAGAGGAGAGGGAGAGGGAGCACGAGCTGTGAAAGGGGCTGACGGGGTTTATGTGCCATTTCACTGTGGCACTGATTTAAATGAGAGTGGAAAGGCTGCTGAGAAAAATGCCTCCGCTGACATAGTAACAACTAGCTCTCATGTAGGTGAGACTGGACAGGCGATGGATGAGAATAAAAGCCCCGGGTTAGGGTTTGTCGGTTCAGATGCAGATTTAATGCCAGGCACTGAGTTTGCGAGTGATCTGGGTGGTAAAGGTCAGCAAAAAAGCAATCTGTCAGCTGCACGTCAAGACCAGCGTGGACAGCAAGAGACGTCAGTGAACACTGCTGCATCTGTTGAGTCGGCATCACAGGAGCATGAGACTTCACCCTCCCAAATCTCTGTTTCATCAAAGGTCAGCACAGATAGTCATGACATTCATACAGAAGTTGTTCCAAGTGCAAACCAGGCTGAAGAAATCCATACAGAAAGAATCAGTGCTCTGCCAGATCCCATTGGGCAAGCAGACACTGTGGAAAAGGATTTCAGTGCTGCCATGGCTGTGAAAAGCAACAGTAGTGAAACTGAGGAGTGTGAAATTCTGGATACAGTGTGCGAGCCTCTTGAGCTACAAATCCCCAATAAAACCTCAGCCACACAAAGCGGCCCAGCAGTTCATACAGCCATAAAAGGCTCTGATGTAGAGGAGATCACAAGGGAAGATAAAGCAGCTTTAGACCAAGAGAAAGCTAGCAGCCAGGGGAAGGGACGAAGTGAGATAAAAGCGATAAACAGTGAAGCAACAGAAAAGCAGGGGGTTGAAAATCAAACTCTCAGTGGTAAAGACAGTGAAAGCGTTGTGTCACACAGCAGCACTGAGCCGGCAGTTGCTCTGTACAAGGCAACAGACAATGACAGTGATGTAACAGATAGAACAACTCCTGATGTTATCACAGTACCAGCAGTCGTTTCCTCTACGTTCCCGGAAGAGTCAGCATCGCTAGAGAAGCCACATGATGAGGCGTCGTTGTCACAGCCCCTAGATGTTATTGTGGTAAACCCCATTGTTGCTGCTTCCCAGTGTGAAGGGAAACCACTTGATGAAGCTCCTGCCTGCGTCACAGAGAGTCCTGCTCCTGGACTAACAGAACCAGAACCAGATACAAACTGGATAAAAGCTCTAAAAGAAGCTGCGTCCCATTCGCAGCGTGAACAAGTGCAGGCAGTGGAGACCTTAAGGTAAACACAAGAGCATGTGTTTGAAGTTATCATGTGAGCAAAATGCCTAAAGAACTGTAGATTAGAGGAGCACACACACACATATGTACATGCACACACACACACATGCACACACACACACACACACACACACACACAAACACATGAGACACAAGACTTCACTGTGATGAAACTATGTTAATGGTAAATAAATGCCTTGCATATGCGTGACTAAAAGGTCAGTGGAGTCATCATGGGCTGCCACCCCTCCTTGTTAATGTGTTTCACAAAGTAGCATGTTAGCATGCTGTCACATATCATCTGCTCATAGTACGTCACATAGAGAGAGTCTCTTGTGTAATCTTCTGTTGTTCTAGGTTCATGTCACCAGCCACAGCAGCCAGAACCACGACTAAGGAATAATGAATAGTGTAGATGAATATCATCGTTTTCATTAGTATTCTAATGGGTTGTGTATCTGTAATGTTCGGCCTCTTTACCAGTCGTTTGGTATTCATGGATTTCTGCTTATTTTCATCGTAGCTTTCCAGTAACACCGTGTTCAAGACTTGTTAGGAGTGATATTACAGAGAGCTGTGTGACAATGAATATGAATGAGGTAAACACAGAGCTGCACTTTGTATTAACTCGAGCTCTGGTCACATGGCTGTGCCTGTTGAAGTCTAATGGAAGTAATGCAGCCCTTTATATTCAAAGGATGACATCAGCTGTGACATCGTCTCTGCTCTCCAGGGCAAGAATGAGCCTTTTCTTACACAAAAAACACAGCTCAACACAATGCAACGACAACACAAACACACACACACACCACAATCACACACACACACACACACACACACACACACACACACACACACACACACACACACACACATACAGTACCTACAGTACTTCTACACACAATCATACCTTCTTGTAGAGGGACACAAGCTGCCATAGCCACACCAACACAAACATTTGTCATTTGTCAGTCATTCCTTGTGCATGTGCTGTAAACTAAACAACAACCCCCTCTTCTCCTGTATTGTTTTTCCAGAGCCTTCCCCTCTCTGGAGTCTCCTCAGCTAGAGTTTCATACTCCGACTGAGGAGATAGCTGCTCCTCTGACACAGGAGGAGATCCCACCAGTGGAGCAGGTAGCAGAGAAGACAACAGAGATCCCAACTCTAAATCTTCTGAAAAAGCCAGTGGATCTTCCTGAACCTTTAAAGAAGTCAGCAGACCTCCCAGAACCAAAGCAGCAGGCGGTAGAGCTTTCCGAACCAACACAGAGCACAAAGGAAGAGCTCTCAGAACCAACCAAGGAAGAGGAAGAGTCTCCAGGAGAACTCCCAGAACCCAAAGGGGAGCCGGTAACTTCTCCAGAGATAGTAGAGGAGCCAGCTGAGCTCCTAGATGCAGCAAAAAGCACAGAAGAGCTCCCAGAAGTGCCGAAACATGAAGAACCAGAACCGACAAAGGTGACAACTGAGCCCCTAGAACCAGCGAAGAAGCTGATCAGTGAGGAGCTGCCGGAAAAACCTGCAGAGACCACACCTGAGGAGCTGTTTAAAGAGCCAGCTGAAGAAACCGCAGTGACAGAATTAGTCCAGGATCCTGCTGAGGAGCTACAGGACAGCAGGTGAGTGTCTGTGAAATCATAGGATTCATATGTAATCAATTGCAATGAGTTTTTTTTTTTGATCTGTGAAATAATTACCACAGCAAACAAGACAAACAAGACCAGCTTCCATTCAGCGCTCTGATGGATCATTTGTTATTGTCTTATGGTCAAGGTTGTGACTTGATATCTTCAGTTTCCAGTGAAAGCCTACTTTACCTTTGTGGATGAAGTAAAGTTTCCCTATTAGGCTGCTGCCAAGGGTCTGTTCTCCCTCAGCACTCAGCCAGAGTCTGGATTAAAAAACATGTCTTTTTAATCCTGAATCCACTAAAATCTAAGGATTATAGCCTTTTACCCTTAAGAACAACAGGTTTACAGGGAGACTGGTAATTTCGTGGCCGATTGGTTTTCCAACAGGAAACCAGACATCAGAATGATTTGTATATGACCTCTTAGACCTGATAGTTTCCTAAAACCTATCATAACATTTCCATTACGGTGATCCATCAGAGACATTTTATTGCAGCTAACTTATTTGGGGGAATCTCAGGGCAGTGGGGGGGTGGGGTGGTGGCATGTGCTTTACAGCTCAGCCACTCACACACTGCCCTGCCTGACTCACATTTAAAATGGATTTCCATGCACTTAGAGAGTCTCCTTGGTGGCTTTGTTTGCCTTTCAGACACCTCGAGGGCGTCTGGTAGGTTGTTGCTGTCTACAGTGGTTTAACGGTGTCTCATCGGACGAATGAGAAGGAGTCTCACAGATTTGTACCGGTTGATGTAATGGCAGTGAACCCTTTATGTTGTTAAAACTCCCGACTAAGTTAAATACACATAGTAAAGCAGTGTGCAGTTCAGTTCGACATCCGTGTGGGCATTCAGTGTTTAAGCATTTTAACAGCTTTTTCCACGTATGTCATTCTTTTAGCTTCATATGTCACTGGAGTGTTTCACTGTGTGTCCAAGGATGTGTTGTGAAAGTACCGCGAGTCTCTCCAGACTCTCTCCTGCCGTTTGCCGCATGCCCAGGAGCCATCCCGCATGCCAGAGTAGCACTTGCTGCCTGTCAGTCACAACACTTGTCCCATCACTGCTGTTGGGGACATAAAGGTTTGTTCAGAGTGGGAGAGAGGAGGAGTGACGGTGCTATTTCCACTGTAGGTTTCATCAATAGATAAAGTTACACTTGCATATGTGTGGCAGAGACAGAAATGTAGACTGCATGGTCAATGATGTGTGTGTGTATATGTGTGTGTGTGTTTGTGTGTGTGTGTGTGTGTGTGTGTGTGTGTGTGTGTGTGTGTGTGTGTGTGTGTGTGTGTGTGTGTGTTTGTGTGTGTGTACATGTGGTTTTTTCCCCGCCCCCAGAGGCTGTCCTAGCTGTCAGTCCGGCTCAGTCTATGCGGCTTTGTGAACTGAAGCCTGTAGTGGGAGGAATTTGGGCAGGCACTCAGCCCCACTGAAGTCATTTGCACAGACCAGACAGAGTGGAACAAAAGCCAGAGTTCAGAGAAAGACTTGAGCATGTGCTGCGGTGTGTGGAGTGTGTATGACAGAAACAGTAACAGAGAAGGACCGGGACGTACAGTCATTGGCTCTGGTGTTTTTGGATTGCAGCAGTCGCTCATCAGAAGTCATTTCCATCACTTATTGTAGTCACCTCTGAAGTTGTGTGATGGATTCCTCCACGGCTGAAATCTGGGTGAGTTGGCAAGAAGGAGCTGTACTGTTTTGTTTCTGCGTGTCCACAGTAGGTGTTTGTGTTTAAGTCCCTCCAGGTGGATGCAGCAGATGGTCCGTAGGTAACTAGTACTTATTACACTCTGCCTGTGCTGACCTCACCAGATGGGCAGAGGGGAGGGACAGACAGACAGACGAAGGGACAGAAGGTGGAAAATAAGGAGCAAAGTTACGAAATCAGTAGTGTACTTTAAAAAAAAATGTAACAGGTTAGAGCATGTTGAGCTGCCGTCCTCTGTCTGATTGACAAAAACTCTCAGCAGCTGTACAACTAAAGTTAAACTATTGTCCTATAGTTTTTTCAAAAATGTTGTTGGCGTGGTAGACTTTAAAAAATAAGGATGTGAATTAATAAATGGTTTGAGGCCTAGCAGGAAATGTAAAGGTCCCCTGACTGACTTGCTATATGAGAGCGTATGAGCGTGAACTTGCCATGAAAAATATGTTTTTGAAAATGTTTCATGGCAAGTTTTAATTTAAAAAATCTTGTGTGAAGCCATTTTAGCTCTTAAAGCTTTATGGGAATGACTGTGACTCTTTAGCTTGGTATGTAGGATATTTCTCATGCATGTTTTCAGAGTAAAAGTGAAGCAGGATGTACTATAGCCCACATTGTACTGTAAATAGACTAGTTGCCATGGTGATTGTAGTCTCATATGCCTTTGCTGGCTCGAGTGAAGTGGATAATCTCATGTCTGTCATTTATTCAACCACACAACACTGCCTTTAAATAACGATTTGATCTCAGTGGTGGCAGACACAAATGAGTGGGTAATTTATGATGGCTGTGTTTGTAATATATACAAACAATGTTCTTGAATGTGCAGCACATTCGCAGCTTGTGTGTCAGGACAGTATGAGTGTGCAGCTGGCTGAGAGACAGAAATGATCCTCTCATCATTACAGCATTTATAAAAAACTCTTTCCTCAGTACCTTCAGCTGGTTTTTATTTACCGCTCTCTGTTTATCATTTGACACCCTGCCTGGACTTTCTGTCTTTTGCATCCAGCTGTTTCCTGTAGATTACACTAAGTGTGTGTGTGTGTGCATGGCTTGATTACAGTTCAGGCAAAGTCACTTTTGTTTACTTAAGACTCAGTCATGAAAGATGAGGTTTGAGAATCAGGTTTGTTATCTGGACTGTGATAGAAAATGACTACTCTGTATCTCTGACTGGCCTTGTAAAATCTGGATTCGCTCTCTCAAGAACTGCTGCTGAGGTTCCCTTCAGCAATGCCCTGAACTCTGCCAAATTACCAGCAGTAAAACACTGAACTGGACAGCCTCCAGGTGTTAAATAAAAAGCAAAGCTACACTGACATGAGGAGGTGTGTTGCTGAAAATGAACACACGTGCTCACTCCAACTTGCTGCATTCGTCCTGTTATGGTAATAAAGCCTCTGCTAGTTCATACACAACATATCTGGAGGCAGGCAGGAAAGCTCCAGCTGTTAACCTGAGTGGGTCAGCTGACATTAATTCCACAATAAAGGCCACTACACTAGAAAACAGTCTACACTTCCCCAGTGTTTAGGCTAATCTTATTTCCTGCCAATTGTCTCTTCCCTCTTAGCTTGTTTTTGTCCATCTTTGGAGGCAGCACTCAGTCTTCTGACAGTTTCCTCAGACTATGTTGTGACTTGGCTGTTTCTATTTCTAGGCTGCATGTGCCAACTTTGCCACAGATGCTGACATGTGTATAGCTCCGGCCTGCTGGTTTAACTGACTCACTTACTCATTTGTAATGAGAGTAAAGGAAACCAAATAAAAATTCATATGTTATTGTGGGATGTTTCTTCTTCATGCACCCACCCTGCATCGAAACAATTCTGTAGCTTTTATAAAGGAATGGTAGGAACCGGACCCGTGTTAGATGTAAACTAGAACTTGTGACGCCCCTAAGAAAAGCACACGCCCTCATTAAAGGTTATTAAGTTCTGACTTTACTGGAAAGAGAGCGGTGGAGAATAACAGAGCTGACTTTCAGTCTGAAATGAGTTGGAAGAGACGTCTGGAAAGTGCAGCTCAGCGGACAGTTGACTTGATGCTTGACTACTATGAACGTGCTTTAATTGACGCTGGTATTGTAGAAGCTCTGTTCTGCAGAAGAGGCTGCTGGGGTATTTTTAGAGCTAAACAGGAGGCATGCCCCAAGTGGGGAACAGCTGCATGGGCGTCCATCGCATTGCCTGTCAGATTAGAGAGCCTACCACTCCTGATAAGACTGGCCTGGATTGGGGCCAAATCCACTCCACCAGGTGGCCAATGATGACAGAGCCAGACAGCCTCAGACTGGCTACTCCACTGCAGAGGACAAGTAGAGCAAGTCAGGGAAACATGGACTGTCATGTGAGGGGACTGAAGAGTGGAGTGACATTTTCAGTTTTGTGTAATTTAAATGACAAAGTGTTCTTAGGATGGTTGAAGTGAGCATTTTATTTTTCAAGTCACTGCTAGGTTTAGGCTTAGAGCAGAGCGATCCATCCCTCTCTGATCTGAGGTAAGTTTCCTTCATGGTTCATCTGTATTGAGGGAAGTGGATTGTGCCCTCAGAGGGCTTTCCAAATCGCTGTACTTGGCTGCCTTGTTTTCGGTCTGTCTGTTGATGTTCTGCGTTCCCTCCCCTGCAGGCCCCTCCTCGCTGAGCAGGCACAGAGAGGTGACCGTCCCCCTGCCTCTCCCCTACCTCCTACTTCCGAACACCACCTCCTGCCTGCCCCCATTCCTCACCTCCACGAGAGCGTCGAGTTCCCCACTCCTCCTCCCACACCCCCGGAGAGGCACGCACCTGAAGTTCTACCAACCCCACCTGCATCCCCACCCCTTCCTCCATCTCCTCCAGCCCCTACCTCCCCTCCTGCACCTCCTGCTAACCACTGTGAGGACCCCTGCCCTGCTTCTGCACCCCGTCACCCTGCCTTAAGGTATGAACATGAACTCTGTCTGACTGTCTGTGTCTGTTCGTTATGTCATTTCCCATTTCTCTGTGAAGTGCTCATCATTTGTTATGTTAAAAAACGTGATGTGAATGTGTGTGTACATGTTTGTGATTGTGTTGTTGTGTGTCTCTGCTTCATTTGTAAGACCGTACAGTAGATTTATCCAGGGCTGACACTAGTCCTTTTAGCCTCCTTGACGAAAAGTAGCCATGTCTTTATCCTTTCAACCCTAGTTCAGGTCCAATTAAAGCATTAAATTGACATCTGGCACACTGAACTAACCTGTACATGTTGATTCTCAGAACTACTACTGTACATGTAGTCGTCCATGCTGTTTCTTTGTTCTAACTTAAAGGAATAGTTTGATATCTTGGGAAATGAACCCGTTCTCTTTCTTGCTGAGAGTTACATGAGAAGATTGTCACCACTCTCGTTTCTGCACTGTAAATATATAGTTGGGGCAGGCAGGTGGTTAGCTTAGCTTAGCATAAATACTGGAAACAAGGGAAAACAGCTAGCCTGGCTCTGCACCTCCTCACCCTGCACCCTTCATATTTGACATGAGAGTGGTGAATAAGCATATTGTTGAATTATTCCTAATAGGGAATTGTGAAATATAATTCTGACAGTACATCATACAGCTTTACTGCCACAGTGAAATCCAGAGCAAATGTCTCTGCAGCAGCCCCTCCTATTACCCCACTCACAAAATTACAGATTAGCATTGCTATGTGTGTCTACCACATGAACTCAAAGGAAACAGGATTTGCTAATGTATGAACTTAGTGGTCATGGAAACTCAAGTGTATACTGTATAATTGTGGCTTGTTAATGGTGGATATAGCAAAAGCATAAGGGTCAAATGTTTATGTGGATCTTTTAGAGGATAAAGTCGAGCACTTACACACCACGCTTTCTCACAAGTACAATCTGCCCTATCATAACCACTTGACATATTATGGCTGTTCGTGCAGCACTCTAATGATGGAGCCACTGTTTCACACAATGATTTTCATTCACAAACTGATGCTGATTACATTTAAATGCTCCTCATTATTTTTTGCTATCAGCACAGTTTAACCACTTTTATTTCTAAGCTTTCCTCTGCAGTGCTTTTTGGCTTTGCATTTTATTTCACAGACTTTATTTTATAGGAGGGAATGACTCAGCCACTTTCACAGTGCAGTGCTGCGTGAGACCAGCAGAGGGTGTTTTCCCTTTGCAGAGTCCAGTGTTCATGTTTTGCTGTCAGCCCTTGTCTGCGCTCAGCTGTCTGAATGCTGCAGTCACCTGGTGCACACATGAATGAGCACAGGGAGACACACCAGCTCCATTGTAGCTCTCTGTATGTATACAGACTCTGTATTGTTTTCTATGTAAAATGAAACATATTTGCTTATGACTTGATGCTGTTTGTATTTCTAACCAACTCCCTTGCTCAGAGAAGACCAGAATTTAGAGAGGGCTAGGCAGTATAGTGGTGTTATATTATTTATGATATCTGAGAGGACTGTCAGACAGCACTGGAGAGGAGTGAAGCAACAACACAGTAACACGGACTGAATGTTCTGATTGGATGTCACAGATTGCCTGTCGACACACAGAGGCTCAACTATATGTGCAGGTAAAAGCTAATACTTTTGATAAAATACATTAGTTTGAGTGCGAAGGTCATATGCAATAGTAAGAACACTATCAGTCTTTACTGATAATAAAGTGATGATATATATCAGTCCTTGTTGGGACTGAGTAACTCCCTTAAAGCTGTTAGATATTTATTATCTTGCTCAAAGGTGCTTCAGGTTGGCCAAGTCTTGAACGTACCTCCACCAGCTGAGAATTGGCTTCCATCACCATGTAATAATCTCAGTTAGTCATCCAAAGACAAACATATTTTATGTGTTTTTTATTGAATGAATCATTGAGAGTTGGATGAGTAATAATTAAATCCTTCTGTGAAAAAAAGAGAGACACAAGGCCGCCTTCCTTTTCTGAATAAATATTTGTTCAAAATAATGAACCCATCAGTGACTCCCACACATTTTTACACTTGCTTTCTGTCATATAGACAATCCCTGACAGCTGAAAAGTGAGGAGTCTTTTGTTAATTTGGATTCCCATAAAAACTGTCAAAGCCATCAGCTCCTGCCCTGTCTACTTAAATTGTGATTATGCTAAGAGCACAGTCTTCCTTCTGTTTGAGACTGTAGAGGGAGCCAGATATGAGGCTCTGCATTTTACAAGCTACAGTACTTTTAACAGCTCAGCCTTCTCATTCACCTGTGTTTGTGACAATTGTGTTCTCACCACTTTCTTATGCGACCACTATGCTCCTCTGCAGCTGAGATAATGGACTGATAAGCTTTCATTTCACTGGATCTTAATTGTTGAGGTGTCCCATTGAAGTGCCGTGGTTACACCAACCATTGCTTTTGTCATTTTCTTTGACGACAGAAAGAGAAGGGATGCCCCTTAATCTCAAAATATGTTGTAAGAATATATATTATAAATGCAAAGTAAATGGGAGAGTAGAGGTTTTGTAGACACTGCCTCAGGAAATCAATTCCATTAGTGATTGTTCATGGGAGCAATGCAGTTTTTTCTTGGCACGTGAAAAACAAAAGCTCTAGGCTCTTAACCTGCCTGATCAGCAGCTGTTCAGCAGGATGATCAGAGGAGCTGCACAGATGTCTGAAACCAGGATTCCCCAAAACATGTCTTTGAGCTCCTTATTGAGTATTTCCACCCTGTCGTGTATTTGAACCTTTTTACACACAGGACCAAAGTCTGTTTTTATGTAATTTTGTACTTGAACTCAGAAATAGAGCCACATTTTAGAACTTTTCAACATCTATTGCATGTTTTTAGTGGCTGTGCTCATTAGAAACTCTCTGTCTTTACTCTGTATTTTTTATGAATCATTGTTGTAGCACATTATTTGCTACTTTGTTATCACCCACTTGGTCAGCACCTATAATTTGCTATAGTTGGGGGTCCCTTTTTTGTGGTCCTTCCTGAGATCTTGGGTTGTTAGGAAAAACAAATTATATTGTGTGTTTCCTGTAACAATCTTTGAGACTCTCTGTGATCACACTTAAACTTGAATTTGCTCGACAATCACAACCCAATTTTTTTCACTTCAACCCTTCTAAAGATTCTTATGAGGCTCCTGTTTGAATTTTGAAAGCAAGGCCAGAACAGTTTTGATAAATCTGTGACTGACAACAGCAGCTTTTAAAAAAATCATATTTAAATCTGACCTAACTGTATGTTTTAGATTTGTTAAGCCCATAAAACCCATTTCACATGCAACAAGAGGTTTTCTGTTTTCTACTATTGTCTTCTTAAGTAAAAAGAGTCCTGCAGGCTGCACGTCTGTGGATCGTAGTGACTCTCGAGCGCCGTTATGAATCTTTCAGAAAAACTGCCACAACCATTTCTTCCAGTGCCTGAGTTTGCTGAATTTTTTATTTCTTCCGTTTTCTTCAGTCGAGAGTTGAAGCTGCAGTGCAAAGACCAGACTTTAAAGCTGCAACAAAGAGAGGATGTTTATGTTGGTCACTCAATAGAATAGGAACTTGTACTGAACGTGCTTTGCTGCCCTAGATACATCTTTGAGCTGGTATGGAGGGTCTGGACAGTCACAGCAATCAATATTTTTGCTTTAGCAGAGGTCTGTGTCGGGGGGGGTTGTGAGTGGGCACATCGATAATTCTTTGTGAACATCAGTTAATGGACTTCATGTTTACATGCAAACACTCCCCCTTTTTAAATGTGGTGTTCGGTTGCACTTGAACAATGGCTTTTGTGGTTTACTTTTTGCAGTGGAACTACATTTCATTCAGTCGTTTTGGTCCTTTTAGGCAGAGGTGCGACACCTGAACCCTGCACACAGCGACTTTGTGTGACCACCAGCACTGCAGGCTGCAGGAGTGTCTATTGTAGTGAGCCCTCATTTCCTCACTTTCCCATGAGTCTACAATAGATTTATTCTTCTCATATTTCCAACAGGGCTCTTTCCCATTGCTCCTTGACAATCAATGGGAAATTTGTAGAACCTGTTCCTGCTCATATTTCCATCCCACAGGACACATTCTCTGCATATGTCACACACAGATGACTAAAAAAGAAAAGAGCAAAATTGGAGGACACAGCTAGACAGAATATCATTATTGCTCTTCCGGTATTTGATGCAATTCACGGTTTAGTGAGGGTGCCAGTAAAATACATCACCAGCCCAGTGTGCTGCCAGGGATTCGACACTTCTCATTTGGAAATGTAGAGGATATCCCTGCCTCTTTGTCTCTGAGTCTGATAAAGGGTTTTAAATGTTTTGTTGCCTTCTAATTACCGAAAACCATCTTACAATATGCAATGTAACATTTTAAAAGTGTGATTTTTGCCTTTTTTGGTCTTATCTGTTTTGTTAATGCGTGCTGGTGCAGAATGGCTTGACAGAAAGTGAATACAATGGGGTCAGAGTTGAATAATACACAAACATACTAGTTTCTCAGAGTCTATTGTTTACCTTAGACAACACTCTGGTTGGCCACGCTGAGTGCTGGAAGCTTCCATTGTGGGAAACGGAGGCATAAAAAATGACATTTTTACTGTGCAACGCGCAGAGTAAGAGAGGGGGGATCCTGGCAAGACAAAGGCAAAGTCGAGAGATACGGTTACTGTGGAAGGGAGGAAGAAGGACACTGACAGAGTGAAAGAGAAAGAGCCTGTTCATCAGTGTGGTTTTGGGGGTCTGCTATTGTTTGGCTCCCCTGCATAGTCGCAGTAGCCGAGAAAAAAGCTGCTTGTCTTTTTAAAGGCGCAGGAGGCTGGTGTCAGGGGAGAGAGTAGAGGAGAGAGGGGGGAGGAGGCAGCGAGAGCAGCAACACAGCTCAGCGATCTCAGCAACCAAACAGAGAGGAGGCACCTCAGACACTCATGCAAGAAAACAAGGAGGCAGGATTATTGTTTCACCCCGCTTGTTT